GCATCACATTTCTTAATTTTTTGTTTTATTTTTATTTTTTAGGATGGAGTCTTGCTCTTGTCGCCCAAGCTGGAGTGCAATGGCACAATCTCAGCTCACTGCAACCTCCACCTTCCAGGTTTAAGCAATTCTCCTGCCTTGGCCTCCGGAGTAGCTGGGCTTACAGGCATGCACAACCATGCCTGGCTAATTTTGCATTTTTAGTAAAGACGGTTTCACCATATTGGTCAGGCTGGTCTCGAACTCCTGACCTCAGGTGAGCCACTCATCTCAGTCTCCCAAACTACTGGGATTACAGGTGTGAGCCACCGCACCTGGCCACATGTTCCCACTTTTTGTTGCTATCTAGGAATTAGGAGAGGTGGTAGCCAGGGAAGAATTAGAGAAGGTTGTGCAGCAGGGCTGGGCCTGGCCAGGACCCTGGACAGCTCAGCAGAGCCCATCTGCCCTTGGTGGTGCTGGGATGGTAGCCGAGATGTGTTGGGGGCCTCAGCAAGGGTTGAAGGAGTTGGTCTGGCACCAGGCAGGGGGCAGGGGAGCTGGGTGGAGGGAAGAGCAGGTGTCTTGGAGTCTGAAGATGGGCCTTGTCATCTCAACTTTATACCAGCGGGTCAGGTCTTGAAACCTCTTGGAGCCTCAGTTTTTTCCATCTCTAAAATGGGGTTTCTAGTCTCCCTTCACAGGGAGGGTTGCCCCTCACTGAGGTTCCTACCAGGCTGCTGTGAGAAATAAACCAGCTCCAAGGCATCTGGAGAAGTTCTTTCAAATAGCAAAGGTCTCACAGGCGGCATGTGAGGGGCCAAGAGCCATAGGTACCGTCAGCTCAGGCCACCTAGAGGGGAGGCATGGGAGTGGTGACTGGAGGGCCAGGGTTGGCACCAGGAGCAGCCCCCACCTCGGGAGTGTGTCCTCCTGGCTCCTACAGACTGCTCGGGGGCTGGGCCCTGCCTGGGCTTGGCCTCCATCCAGCTCCTGCCCGGCCTTCTGGTTGGTGGCCTGGAGTCACGTGGCAGGAAATGCTGTCGAGTGGGGTAGGCGTCTCCTGTGGACAGGGGTCACACTGGGACTCTAGCTGGGGGCAGGATGAGAGAGCCCCTGGGGTCTTTCCACAGCTTGTCATTTCATCCATGAGCAAGCTCAGGAGTGAGCCACCCCATCCCCTTTCTCCTCAAGCTGAGGAAACTGAGGCTCAGAGAAACACGAGAATGTCCCAAGGTCCCAAGGAAGTGAGTAATGGAGCTGGGTTAGAATACAGATCCTCAGACCTGGTGTCTACAACTATGACAGTGTGAGCTGCCACCGCTTGCTGAGTGTTGACTGTGCACCCTGCACTCTGCATGTGCGTGGCTCTGAGGTAGGGATTATTGCATCAGCTTTACAGAAGAAGAGACTGAGGTTCAGAGTCATAAGCTGTTAAGTGGCAAAAGCAGGATTTGGTCAGGGCATGGTTTAAGAGTGAGTGTAGTCATTGCAGGCTGTACCTGAGCCTGCTGGAGGTGAGCAGGGCCCAAGGCCCCTGACAAGGTGTGGCTTTTCCACTTTGGGCTCTAGGCCTAGAGGAAGGCCCAGGATGAGGACCGTGCCAGACAGCCGGACTGAAATGTACCCTTCTTTGGGCTGTGTCAGGATCCACACAGACCTGGCTGGCAGGGGGAGAACTTGTCGGTGTCTAATGTGGCTGAGGTGGGGACATGAAACTAGGGCTCCGTTCTTCAAGACTGTCACCTCCTCTTGGGAGCCTCTTCCAAACCCCAGCCCATGATGCCTTTCAAATCCTCTGAACACGACTGCCCTTCTCTGCCAGAGGGATTCCTGGGGTCTAACACAGTGCACGTCGATATTTGCTGATTAATAACCTTTCTGGCATGCTGGCTGTAAGCCAGTCACCATGAAGGACCCGAGGAAGGCATGAAAGCTTAGGTCACTCTGTCAATGAAGCTGCCCAGGCCTCCAGGTCATCCCAGCCCCTGCCCTGCAGGCACCCCACACACCCCACACGCCTCCTTGAATTCCCCACACTCACCATCCTTCGTGATATCCTGATGATCGAGGGGACATAGGAGACAAAAAATTTCCACAAATAAAGTAGACTCCACCCCGACCCCGCTCAGAATCTTATCAGGGTTGACATTTTGCTGTATTTACTTACTGCCTTCTTTCCCCTCTTCCCCTCTATTTTTCATTTTTCAAAACACAGAATCAGGCACACTCTGTTGTAACCCGCTTCACTAGTTCACAGGATGAGTGCGGAGCGTGGAGCCCATTTTTCCACCACGTGGCATTGCAGCGACATTATCTGGCTACTTGAAATTTCCCGGACATCCCATAATTTAACAAACAGATCCCCTCTGGCTGGGCATTTAGGTTGCTTTCACTTTTGGGCTGTTATGAACAGCCTGCAGTTACTGCCTCAGGACGCCTCTCTGGAAGGTGCTTCTTGGCCAGGGGATATCACACACGCTCTTTGGAGCCTCCGAGCCTTTGCACAGGTTGGTGGCTCTGCCAGGCTACCCCTCTCCTATGCGTCCCTAACTTCTTCTGCAGCGCACACACTGCCTCCTCCGAAGCGTCCTGGCTGCATGTGCTGCCCTCTTCTCCCTGGTATCATGAGTATCTGCTGACCTGCTTCTTTCAGGACAGAGTGCCTTCCTGCTCCTCCTTCTCTGCCTTGGCCTCCAGCACGTAGTAGGCGCCGAGGAAATGCTTTCCAGCAGAACGAGCCATCTCCTGGCTGGTTTAGCAGTGTGGGATTGTGTGGTGTTTCTATTAGTCTCCATGAACAAGTGCCACTGTGTTATTAAATTTTTCCAAAAGCAGAATGTGTGCTGTGTTTGCCAGAATGGTTGCTCTTTTAGGAGCGGGTCTATCCTGCCCATCCCACACTCCTCATTCCCTCATCTTTTAGGGTCCATTCACTGGGCACCTACAGAGTGCCAGGCCCTGTGGGTTGCAGCACTGGGCTCTGGGAAGGTTGACCTCTGGGGTGCAGCCTGGACCAGGGGAGGCATGAGGGCTACATGAGACAATGTGGGTCAAGCTGAGAGCTCCGTGCCTGGGACTGGGTGGTGCAGGTAGTGCCAGACCCCTCTGGTGGGGAGCTCATGCTTGGCTTCAGAGGAAGTGCTGAGTGCCAGGCATACAGTAGGCACTCAATAAATGTGCACCCTGGGAAGGTAAGGGATGGTGTTCTGGGAGTTGAACGTAGTTCTAGTAGGACTGGTGGTGGTGCGGAAGCTGGCCTTGGAGGAAAATTGTCACAGGAACTTCTGCTCTTGACCCAGGGACCCAGAAGGCATTTGTCACTGTCCTTTGCGATCTCCTGAGGCCACAGCCAAGCTGTGGCTTTGTCCTGGGCAGGCGGCAGGTGGGGTCTGCTGAGACACTGAGTCCAAGACCCCCTCCCAGGCATGCAAGACATTTTCTCCTTTGCCTCCCTTGAAGTCACTGTGCTCAGGAAGCCTGAAGCCTAGGAGGAGAAAGAGGCTCCCGGGTCGAGTTTGGGATTTCCTGAGAGATAATTGGGGTCTAAAGACAAGGAAGCAGGAGTGGGTGACTGCCATGGACCCATCGGCCAGCCCCTGCCCCCTGTCTCTGGCCTCAGGACCCCAGACCTCCATCATCCTCTCCTTCCATAGTCCAGCCGCTCCCCCTGTACTTTTGGCTTTTTAAAATTTATTTATTTTTTTTGTGTTTAGACAGAGTCTCATTTTATTGCCAGGCTGGAGTGCAGTGGCATGATCTCTGCTCACTGCAACCTCTGCCTCCCACGTTCAAATGATTCTCTTGCCTCAGCCTCCCAAGTAGCTGGGACTACAAACACATGCCACCACGCCCAGGTAATTTTTGTATTTTTAGTAGAGATGGGGTTTCACTATGTTGGCCAGGATGGTCTTGATCTCCTGACATCCTGATCCACCCGCCTCAGCCTCCCAAAGTGCTGGGATTACAGGCATGAGCCATGCCAAACGGCCTCTACCTCTGTCTTTAGAAGTTCCAGAGCAACCTCTAAAAATATAAATCTGACCAAGTCACAGCCCTGCTCAAAAACCCTCTATGGCTCCCCACTGCCCCGGACAAAGTCTATCCAAAGCTCTTCCTGATCTGGCTTCTGTCCCCTCTCTCCCAACCTTGCCACCTCATCTCCCCTCGTCTTGCTTTTCCTCTATCTGGAACCTACTGAACTCACATGCCAGGGCCTCTGCATGCTCCATTCCTTCGGCCTGGATGTCTTTTCCAGGCCTTCTCTCCTGGCATTTGCTCATTCAACTGGGCTGTCCCCACCTCCAGGAAGCCACCCCAGGTAGCTGTCCTCGGGCAGAACAGGCCCAAGGGGCCCACACAGGGTATCCTTGGGGATGGTGTGATGGGTGTGTTGGCAAAGGGGGACCCACAAACATTTGTTGAGGGGCCTTGGGCCTCTGAGGAGCCACAGCCCCTTTCCATCTTCCTCTCAGTCTGGGAGGCCAGGCCAGAGTCATCTTCACCCTGACTATGTAAGGCCGTGGGACACCCATCCCACCCGGGGCAGGGGCTGGAAGCCCCAGGGCCTCTCAAACTCCCCAGGTGACCCCCACCGCTGAGGGCCATGCTCCCTCCTCTTCCCAGCAAGGTAGGGCCTCTGTACACTGAGGTCCTGACTTGCTTGCCTGCCCGGTTGGGGCTCAGGCCGCCTCAGGCCACCTGCTGTGCCCGGGCTTGGAGACCAGGGACTCCCGAGGGGAAGAGATGGTGGCCCGGGAGGAGGACCCCGACCTGTTCACAATGGGAGTTGGGGTCCGAGTGCCTCCGTCCCGGGAGGGGGACCTTCCAGATCCCGGGCGGGAGGGCCCTGGAGCAGGGTGCCCTGACGGCCCCGGGAGGGTGTCCGGGCCTCGGGCGAGGGCTGCGGCGCCCCGGAAGGAGCCGCGCACGCCCCTGCACGCGGTGCCCGCCGCGGAGGCCGCGGATCCGGAGGTGAGAGCGCCCCCGCCCCGCTCCCCGCCCAGCCCGCGCGCGGCCCGGCCCGGGGCTGGGGGACGGGCGCGGAGAGGGGCTCGGGGCGCTGCGGGGCGGCCCCCTCCGTTTTCCGCAGCGCGGGCGCCGCTCCTCCTCCCGCGCCCAGGCCGGCGGCCGGGCTCCCTGTCCCTCCGCAGCGGGATGCGGGCACCGGGCCCGGGCAGGGGCCGAGGGCCGAGGCCTGGCGGGCCTGGCGGGGGCCCCTGCGGACGGCGGCTCAGGGGCCGGGACCGAAACCTCTAGCGCGCCCCTCCCGGCGGCCGGGAGGGGGGAGGCGGGGAGGGCGGGCGGTGGCGGGCGGTGGGAGCCGGGGAGGCTCAGAGCCTCGCGGCGCGCGGGCGGGCGGCGGAGGGGGCGCGGGGAGCCCCCCGCCCCCCGAAGGAGGAGTCTGGCTCCCACTTGCAGCCTCGGACGCGCGGCGAGGCGGCAGCCGCCGGAGGAGCCCCCGCCCCTGCGCGCCTCCCTCCCGGGAGCCCCTGCCTCCCTCGGTGCGCGCTGCTGCTCGCAGCCGCCGCGGCCGCGGAAGAGGAGCCCGGGGCCAGGTAGGACCGGGGGCTGGCGGGTCGCGGCGGGCTCGGGAGGCGGGCCGGGCGAGGGGCGCGGCCCGGACCCTTCTCCAGGCTCTGGGCGACGCCCGCGGCGCTGCGCAGGGCGCCCGCAAAGTTACTTTGGCCGCCTTTGCCCGGTGCGGGCGCCGGGCTGGGCACCCCCGCTGTCCCGCCTGCCGAGCAGGCGCCGGCGGGAGGGGTCTCGGCCAGGGCGTGGGACTTCGGCTGGGGCCGCGGGGTCAGCGAAACTTTTCCCTTGCTCGCCAGTCGCGGCTGGCTGCTGGCGGAGTAGCCGGTAGAAGAAGCGGGCTGCTGGGGTGCCAGTGGTGATGATGGTGGTAACAATAGCAGCCCCTGCTTGTGGAGAGCCTACTGTGCGCAGCCAAGCCCCTGCTGGCACTCGGGGGAAGAGACGGGGGACGAACGCTGGCTGAGTGGCCACTTTTGCTAGGTATTGCGGGAAACTTCATCCATTTCCTTCCATCCCTCCCTTCCTCCCTCCCTCCCTCTCTCCCTCCCTTCCTCCCTCTCTCCATCCATCCACTCACTCAACACATATTTATTCCTGTCTGCTGTGTGCCCTGCCAGGGATTCAGTGGCTACCCAGACAGGTCCCAGCCCTCAAAGGCAATGCTGATCGTGGAATGGCCAAGCGAAGGAGCAGTTCTGTCTCCTGTGTGTTTGTTCTGGGACGTATTACAGGAGCGTGAATTAGTGCCCAGTCTCCCTTCACCCGGGTAGGGCCAGAGGCGTGTAATTCGGAGCGCTGATGTGCCCAGGGTCTGGGCAGGCCCCAGCTTGGCCTCCGGGACTCACCCTTCTCCTTTTCCTCCCACCTCTACTGGCTCAAGCTGGGTGGCCCAGTTGGTGTCAGGAGGCTCCCTCCTGGAACTGGCCTCCGCCCTGCCTAGCTGACCTCTCTGGGAAGTCTCTTCCCCAGGACTGGGCTGGCCTGGCTCCCAGATCCCCTCCCAGAGTTTCTTTGCCTTCCCCCCTCCCCATTTCCCCTGCTCCACTGAATGGCCCAGAGGAGAGCTTGTTAAGTGGCAAACAATTATGAAATTAAACTGGGGGAACAAAAGTGGGCTGGCTGTTGAATGGCAGAGCAGGCTCGAGGGAGTTGAATGGCGGTGGGAGACTTGTTAGCAGGGATCTGGGCGCTGAGGGGCAGGGCCGGGGGGCGGTCAGGCAGGCAGGCACTGTCAATAGCCTGACTGGACTTTGCAAAAAAAAAAAATTTAAACCAACTTGGTGAGAAATCTGTCATAGGGTTTACTGTTCTTTAGGGGATGTTGGAGAGGCCACCAGCTGACTGCCACGTCCAGTGGGAAGCCAGGCCTTGGTGCACCGGAGCCAGGGCTCTAAGACACTATTTAGGGAGGGTGCTGGTGGATTCTGCTGGCCTGAGGCAGGGGAGAACCTCAGGGCCTCTGAGCTGGTGGTGCTCCGGAGGCATTCTGGAGCCAGGCGCAGTCTGCAGGGGCCCGCTGTGTGGGAGCCGTGCATGAGAAACTGTACCTCACCATGCTGGGCTCCTTGCAAATTGGCTTTCCGAGTGGCAGCCTCACAGCACTTGTAAAACCTTTTTCTCGAGATGGATTTCAGTGCAATGGTTATATCAATTGGAGGGCTTGCTCGTTGGAGGTACATTAATTGGCTGATGACTAGTCAAAAGGCGAGAATCTGGCCACGGAGGCTTACCCGTGCGTTGGGAAGTGTTGAAACATGGGACTGCCTTCCCATTTATTTCTCGGCCCTCAGGAATCTCGGAAGACCTGGACTGAATGAAGTCACTGTATTGGTGATGTGGATGGGTTCAGAGGGTCACTCACGTAGTCAAGGAGGTACCTCTGATGTAACCACACCGTGATACAGTTAGAATCACTCACACCCATCCTGGCTGATGCCCTGTGGGCTGTGCCTGTGCACAGATAGGACAGGTTTAGATCTAGGTGAACGGTAAGAATTTTAGGGTGTTTGACTCGAGCCCCAACTGTCAGGAATACACAGAGTGATGTAGGGAGCCATCGTTCATGAAAAGCCTGCTTTTCATTCCCAGGCCACCTGTGAGACTCTTAAATCTTCATCCAGCAAATGTGGTTTAAGTTCATTTGTTGTTCTTTGAACTTGCTACCTTCCCACCTGGGCACTGGGGGCCTTGGTGTGCTTACTTTATCCAGGACACATCTCTGTCTACTTGTTTGAGGAATTAGGGTGGTCGCTGGGTTTCCCTGAAGGGTAGCATTCAAGGAGAAAAATCAGCATTCTCCCTGCAGGTTCTGGACTTCTGGAAAAAAAGAAAACCCTTCCCAAATTGCAATCATCTTTTAATCTATCAAAATGACTTCGTTTTCCCAATTTCAGGCCTGCAAACCGATCATGAATACTGGGACAGAGGAAATTAATCAACCAGGCAAAGACTTTTAACAAGTAAATATTATGCACAGAAAAACATGCAATTAGTGGAGGTTAGTTAATGCCTTTCAAGTTGCATCAAGCTGCAGTTAAGGGTGGAATTTCCACGTTATCCCTGAATTGTCTGTCAAAGTCTTTAATGTGACAGTGTGACAGGTCTCTCCCACCGCCCCTCCCTCACCGGGAACAAAAAGGATCTTTTCACGAATTCTCCCTTTCCATTCTTTTTCTCCCTGAGATCTTTCCGTTCAGGCAATAAGCACCTTTGTCTGCCTGCCGCTCCGGAGCAAGGGCCCCAGGCAAAGGGCTCCCTAGGTGCGGAGGCGGGGGAGTAGATTCTCAGGGTCACTCTGTACCTACAGATCAAAGTTGATGGCACCTCTGATAAGAGGGGACTTCCTTCTGGCCTGGGCACCCCACCCTCTAGGACTAGAAGTGCCCAACACTTGGGGGTGGCAGGGAGAAGGGGTGTGAAGGGACTGTTTCCCACGGCAAGAACTGTTTAGTGTAGCCTGGGGCACTCTGAAAGCCATTCCCGGAAGCCCTGGTTTCTGCTGTGTGGACGTCCCTATGTAATGAGACCACACCAGCAGCATCCCCTTCAGACTCCCACTGAAGTTGTCTGACTTGGATTTGAAGAGATGACTAAAATATCAAAAGAAAAAAAACCCAAAAAAATCCAAGGGGAAAAAAATAAGACTCCTTTGGGGATGAATATTGGAAGAAAGGTATACATTGCTTCTCAGTTAATTTGAGTTACCATGGCTCTCCCTGGTGACCTGACAGGTCCTCTACCAACACAAATGTTTTACTTTATTTTGACTCTTCCCCCTAATGAGAGAAGACTTAGTTATGCTTTATTTCCACTTAAAATGTCTGTGACCAACAGGGGCAGCTCAATTTCGTGAAACAAATCATAACACGTTGAGATGATAGGTATTACATTTGAAATCAGATTGTGATTTGAGGTGCTCCTTGGCCTTTTCAGGTCTTTTCGTGAATTACTCTGTGGGGGGTTTTCTTGGACCTGAGCTTGGCCAGCTTAATATCAGAACCTGGTCATCTTCATAAATAGAAGCAGCTGCAGGGGAAAAAAAATTCTCCCTTCTAGTTGACTCTGTTCTGCACCCAGTTCAAGGCCCGGGATGAGTAGGTTCCTCTTCCCACCACCCCAGTCTACACCTCAAAGTTTGTCTATTGCTCACCCTCACATTCCCATCTCCCCCTTCCCAGAAGGATGTGAGGCTCAGCGCTGAAGCACACGAAGAGACTTTTGGCATCGCCCATGCTAATTTCATCGCTTCAGGGAGAAAATGATGCCTGCTTCCAATTTCTGACACTCTCATCATTTCCCCTTCATTTCATTCTTTTGCATTTTCCTGACAATACTGCAGTCTTCAAGGCTGCAAAATATATTGCACTGGCTACCTGAGATATGTAATCCCTTCCTGCACCCTGCCTTTCCCTCCTTCCTGACAGAGCGCTTTTTAGTGTTCCAGTATTCACAGAAAAGGCAAAGGTTCTCTCCTCAACCCTTATTCTGCCCTGGGCTCCCTGCAAGGCGCCGGTGATGGTGGGGGAGGGCTGGTGAGAATGGAGTTTTGCTTTTGTAAGTTTATCATTGAGACACATTAGTTAATTGATCATACTTGGGAGGTCTAATCCTTAATTGCAAATTCCCACACGATCACAAAACATACACTCGAACTGATCATCAAAAATGGCAAATCCCCAATATCAGACTTAAGTGTAGAATTGCCATAGTGCTGATTTGATTATGCTTCAGTGACATCTGTTTAATAGATTTCCACAAGAACTGTAAATCCACATTTACCTTCTTTGCAAATTGTATTTGAATGCTGAGCAACCGCAGCCCTCTAGCCTCTTCCCTTCCCTAACCATGTCTGCCCTAAACCCCCATTCCTATTGTGGGTGATTTTGAGCTGTAAGTGGGAAGGGGGATACAATGCAGAGTTTAACACATCTACCTCCAGTCTCCTTATGTGTGTGGGTATGTCTGTGTGCATCTTTGAAACGGATCTGAACAGCTTCCCATTTCAACTCTATAGATACGTGACTCTCCAAGTGCTTTATTTTGAAAACTAGGACGTAGCACTTTGCAGAAGAAAAATCAGTTCACTCACCATTATTTATGTGATCGCTGATCTGCTAGGTGGATATAGAAAGCACCAGGAATTATAAAAATTTATGGAGTGGAGCACTGGTTTACAAACATGTTTCTCTGCCCAAGCTGTGTGGGTTTGTTCACGTCTCGGGGCTGGTTTCGTGCAGTGGGAACGGAGAATAGTCACAATTTGAAGACAAGCCCGGCGAGCCGACTGCATTCATAGCTAAAATTAAAGGAATAAGTGAGCAGCTATTTGTGGCAGACAGGACATGATCCAGTACGTAGCACTCTTCATATTCCGAAATAAAAGTACGTAATTGGAAAATGAAGCGCCAGAGACTGCTGGGGGGTGGCGGTGGTGAGGAATTAGAAAGTGTAATTTAAAATCATGTAGTCATAATTCAAAATGGGCCCAGCTAAAAGGGTTTTAAGTGGTAGATGCTTTAAAGTC